AGATAGATAGATAGATAGATAGATAGATAGATAGATAGATAGATAGATAGATAGATAGATAGATAGATGTAAATATTAAAACCTCCCTTAAAATTTCCCTTAAAAAGGAACAAAAACTACTCTTTTACCATGACTAGTGTGTCAGTGGCTATTGGAGGAAGGTTGGCCCAATGAAGGAGATTATATAAAATAATAAAAAGGTTTTATTCAAAACAAAAGGTATAAATGCAGATGTGAATTCAGCATTTTATGTCCCCTGTGTTAATTAATTACTTAACAGTGGATTTGGAGGTAGGCAGTGGTCTGGTGGGAAATAGGCAGATCCCATTTTAAATATGGGCTTTTTCTGACTTTCCAATGATTTCCTTATAAACTATTTTCCTCCTTGACTCTATTCACAATCTGAATGATACTTGTTTTGCCACTGCTTCTTTATCCAACTTCTGCTATTGTGGCAAGTGGCAATCAGTTCAGGTCCTTCAGTACCGCATTACATAATCCCTTTTATTAGCATAGGTTAGTAATCCCACGAACATTTTGCATCAACTGCAAATTCCAGAAACATTTCAAGGATGAGCCCAGACACACCATGTTGCATTAGTCAACATGGCATGTAATTAACATGTGGATAATCATCCTGAGTCCAGTCAGTTCAGGAAGAGGCATAGCTGACACACTAGATATAATTGTGGAAAAGGCAGGCATTTTACCAGTTTACCAACTGAATTAGTGACAGTTGAAAATTAATAACCACTTCCCAACATCAAGCCTTCTCTAGCATGGTAAAATACATATCTCACGTAATATGGCATTGATTTATCTCTCAATCGCACAATGTCATTAGCCCTGCTTACTACATGCTCACCCTTCCTGGCTGTTAAAATTAGTATCCTTGGAATATGCAAGTTGAAATTTTTATGAACCGCAGTGTGAAAAATATCTCAGCCCATAGCAAAATATCTCCATTTAATGCAAGAGATAGCCTCTGTTAATTGATTTGGTCTCAGAACCACATAGAGAAAATATGTAATACAGTTATTAAGCGAACAAGCAATAATCAAAACTGAAATCTCTATCTAAATTCAGTAAGATTCGGGAGGATTTAAATAGAAAAGAGGATTTTAAAAAAGTAGCAGAAGTGAAAATATGGATAATAATCTTTAAAAACAGGAAAAGCAATATATGTAAACAAGAGCAAAAGCTTAGAATCATTCCCTTTTTGTGATCTTGAATGGAGCAAGAAACAGTTTAGCTACCATGAGAAAAGAAGTGTCAGAGAAGAATAGATCATAATTATTTCGGTGAAAGTTAGAAAGAAAGTACTGGGGATAAGACCTTTAACACATTTAGAATGACAGTAATATAAAACACAATACAAATTTTTAAAAAGAAAAGGCTTTTAGAGCTGTTAAAGCATTTATTTCAGACTGGGAAAAGTTCAGAGAAATAATTTGAGCTAAAAAGCATACAGATCAGTACTAGAGGAAAAGCAAAAGACAAAAAAGCAGAAAGAAAATCCTAAATGTCTGCATGGGGAAAAAATAATTCTAGGTTAAGAGGAGGCAATTATATCTCAAAAATGATATACTCTGATTTATTATCTGTACATCCAATCAATGACATCTAAGTTGACTAGAAATTCTTTATTACATTCATCTGATTATCAGTTTGTGCATATATAAAGTTTGTACAATAATTAAGATGTTGGCCTTGGAGCAGTTTCTTGCCACCCTCAACCATGATTGGATTAATTGGATTAATTTCGACCAATTACTTCCTGTCAGTCCAACCTACTTCATGAGGTTGTTGTGGGAGGAGTAAAGACTGTTTGCTACCTTGAGCACCTGAAGAAAGCTATCATGTCATTTTGATGAATGAAGAAAGAAAGAAATACATACAAGCTTATAGAAGTTTATGATATCCTTCCCCCNACAACAAATAATCATCAATTGCCTTTATCATTTATTAAATCTTCAGATTCTATCTCTAAAAATTGCTTGAGAATGCTTTTTCTCAAAAAAGGCAGGGCTGCATTATATTTCAGATAGGTGCTACGTTTCAACTTCCACGTGCTCTGAAGCCCTCGTTGGAGATGGAATCTGAGCCTTTGCACAATCCTAGCCATTACCTCCTGCACTAATAATTTGAGTCCAGTAACCTTCTTCTGGTGGAAATAAAATGTATTGTAATTGAAGCCAATTAAGGCTAGGTAATGATATGTTTGCATAAGTGTAACCTGCTGGACTCTGATGACCTGTGACACAGTTGTATCGGGGAGAGGGCTAACTAGTTTTACACTGCAAAATAATGCACACAATGTTAAGGAATTCAGTGTATAGTACATTACTTTATAGTTTACCTTGCTTAATAAATAGTGTTCAAAAATTAGGAGAAAAGTTAAGAGTTCACTGCTGCAATATTTTGTCCAAAAATAAGATCTTTTCCTCTTTTCCAGGGTTTATTTCAGAAATCGCTGGGTAAAAACTGTCCACCCAGTTGTGCATCAATACTGTTTGATTTCAAGCACACATTCCACCTTTCAGATGCCCCAGAAAGAAGACATTCTTAAACAACGAGTAGTAGTGGTTACTTTGAATACTTCACAATATCTGTGTCAGCTAGATCTCGAGCCTGGTGAGATAATGTTTTATAAGAAATGATTATTGCTCCTTTTTCAATACAAAGTTCTCGTGATCTTTTTCTACAAAAAGTGAAAACTATAGCAGCTTTATTTTGTGTGACATTCTGTGTGAATTGAAAGCAGTGAGAAAGAGATACTGTATATTAACTCATTTTTTATCTACATAAAGTTATATATGTATTCATTCATACTCAGGCATGCCTTTATCGTGGATCTTTTCTATAGACAGTTTTAAAAGAGATACTGTTAGCAATTTGAAAATCAGCCAAATCCTTTCTTCTTCCCCCGTAAATGAAATAATATTTTAGGATTTCAAGGGGACTGACATTAAATTGGTATGGCAAAGATTACTTTTTCAGTAAGTTTGCAGCTATGGGAGAGGGGGGTTAATTAACAATATGGGAGAGGGGGAAAAGTGTGGCTCCTACCTTTATTTTCAGTTAGTTTGCATTACCTTGGCACAGCTTTGATTCTTCAGAACATTTGACATCAGAATTTCCACCATAAGCGGAATTAACTATAAATCTGAATTTCTATATTGATCTTGCTTAAGGATTTTCTTTAAGTGAGCTGTGGGTGGTGAGAAACACAATGGTTTCTTTAAATGAATTGCAGGCAATGAAGAGGAGTTTGTACGATCTCCTTATGAGCTATATTTAAATTTTAGATTATTTATATATACACCGGTATTTAATCTGTGAGCATTATGAAGAAAGTGGACAGATTTGCTGTGGATTTTCGTCACTTCTCTATAGATTTAAATCTTTTAACCAGTTTTGTTTTTAATTAGTTCTTGTCTGAAGAGACCCAAATATTAATTAATTAGAATTATTCTACATGTCAGCTTCCTGTGGGAGGAGCCTGTCGCCGAGGAGCTCAACGAAGCCCCTCTTAAAGATCTGGTTTGTATATCTAATTAAG